AGAGCTTATACCACAGCTAATTACTACTTAACCACAAAAAGCAATTAAAATAGTAGGCACTTTGTCTAAGACTGAAAGACTGTATGAAATAAATCTCATCAAAACATGGGATTCGGTTGTGTAAATGGAATGTTTTTGCAATGTCTTTGCTTCTCATTGTTAAAGCGATAGGTAAAGTTACCATAAACCCTTCATTACCACTATTAGCATAACACTTATTTAAAGCAAATGATAAATACCTAACATATAAACATATTTCAAACATAATTTTTTGTATAGATTGCTTTACAGACAAACTTAAAAATGATATACATTTACACAATTTTTTTTTTCACTTGTTCATTCAGCCTTTATTAAAATATTTGAGAAATTAAGAAGTGGTAGGAACTGCCATCAGATATATGGATCCTGTGGACCATCCAAGGATATGGGATTGATTTCGACGGGGCTCCTCTCCATGGGCATTCACCTCGACCCAAGTGATTTTCAGCGACTGATGCATGCCTCATCAACCATGAGATCCTGGACTTGCTGTGCAAAGGAGCCATACAACCCACTGAATATGGCATATGTTTCTTGAGCAATATTTTCTTGGTGAGGAAAAAAACAGAGATTTTCCCCCAGTAAGACTGATTCAAGCAACTTGACTTTAAGGACATGTACTCTCTGTTTCCATTCATCTCTCCAGTCATCATCCTGCAGTTTCTTTGGCAAGGAATGCCCTGGCAGTTCAATTGCTTCCTTTTTGGCCTCAACTCAGCCCCGTGGTGCTTTAACAAGCTTATAAATAGTGATGCACCGAACGGTTCGCCGGCGAACAGTTCCTGGCGAACATAGCGTGTTCGCGACCGCCGCGGATGACGAACACATGCGCGGTTCGATCCGCCCCTATTCGTCATCATTGAGTAAACTTTGACCCTGTACCTCACAGTCAGCAGACACATTCCAGCCAATTAGCAGCACACCCTCCCTAGCAGACCCTCCCACCTACTGGACAGCATCCATTTTAGATTCATTCTAAAGCTGCATGCTTAGTGAGAGGAGGGAAAGTGTAGCTGCTGTTGATTAAATAGGGAAATGCATAGCTAGGTTAGGGTATACAGTGTCCACTACAGTCCTGAAGGACTCATCTGATCTCTGCTGTAAGAACAGCACCCCAAAAAGCCCTTTTTAGGGCTAGAACATCAGTCTGCTTTTTTTTTTTGTGTGTAATGTAATTGCAGTTAGTTGTCTGCCACTGCTGCCAGCTTCTGTGTCAGGCTCACAGTGGATACTGTGCCCATTTGCCCAGTCAGTGCCACCACTCATATCTGGTGTCACAATAGCTTGCATTTAAAAACAAAAAACTTTTTTTTCACTGTTATAGATTGAATAGCAGTCAGTGTCCTTAAAGCGGGTGTGTCAGGCTCACAGTGGATACTGTGCCCAGTGCCACCACTCACTCACTGGTGTCACAAAAGCTTGCATTTAAAAACAAAAAACTTTTTTCACTGTTATAGATTGAATAGCAGTTAGTTGTCTCAAAGCGGGTGTGCCAGGCTCACAGTGGATACTGTGCCCAGTGCCACCACTCACTCACTGGTGTCACAATAGCTTGCATTTAAAACCCAAAAACTTTTTCACTGTTATAGATTGAATAGCAGTTAGTTGTCTCAAAGCGGGTGTGTCAGGCTCACAGTGGATACTGTGCCCAGTGCCACCACTCACTCACTGGTGTCACAATGGCTTGCATTTAAAACCAAAAAACTTTTTTCACTGTTATAGATTGAATAGCAGTTAGTTGTCTCAAAGCGGGTGTGTCAGGCTCACAGTGGATACTGTGCCCAGTGCCACCACTCACTTACTGGTGTCACAATAGCTTGCATTTAAAAACAAAAAACTTTTTCACTGTTATAGATTGAATAGCAGTTAGTTGTCTCAAAGCGGGTGTGTCAGCCCTACAGCGTGTACTCTGCCAGTTTACAGTGCCACTCATAGCTGGTGTCATAATAGCTTGCATTTAAAAACAAAAAACTTTTTTCACTGTTATAGATTGAATAGCAGTTAGTTGTCTGCCAGCAGGTGTGTCAGGCTCACATTGGATACTGTGCCCAGTGCCACCACTCACTCACTGGTACCCGGACGAAATTTATTTTCACCAAAGGCAATCCCCAACCTGTACTCGATTGTGCAAAAGGAAATAATGGCATGTCTGGCACACAGTGTTGGGGCAAGGGTCCATCTGACCACTGATACCTGGTCTGCAAAGCATGGTCAGGGCAGGTATGTCACCTACACTGCGCATTGGGCAAACCTGCTGACGGCTGCCAAGCATGGAATGCGTGGCTCTGCAGAGGAGTTGGTGACACCGCCATGACTTGCAGGCAGGCCTGCTGCCACCTCCTCTACTCCTCCTACTCCATCCTCTTCCATAACCTCCTCGACTGAGTCCTCTTCTGCTGCTGCGTCTTGCCCCACATCAACGGATAGGGGACGTGACAGGGATTAAACTGATAAGAATAGTACTACTTAACACACCACTCCTATCTGGTGGCACATTAGATTGCACGCGCAGTGCCCCAAATTTGTTGTGATCTGTGAGTAAGGTAAGCGGTTGTCCATACAAGTAAGGTTGCAGCTTTTTGAGGGCCCACACCACCGCCAGGCACTCCTTTTCAATGGCAGTGTATCTACTTCCCTGGGCAAAAGTTTCCGGCTTAGATAAGCCCCGGGTTGCTCGCTGCCATCTGCTCCGACTTGGCTCAATACTGCTCCCAATCCAAACATAGAAGCGTCTGTATGGACGAGACAGCGTTTAGTTGGATCAGGAGCAGAAAGTACAGGTGATTTAATGAGCGCCGTCTTGAGCTGTTGGAAGGCCTGTTCACACTCTGGGGCCCATACTACTATCTTGGGGAGGTTTTACGCGTTCCTATATGGCACTTACTGGGCTTTAGGGTCAGTCCGGCCTCCCTAATCTGGTCTAGTACGGCTCCTATGTGGGTCAGGTGTTAGGGCCAGGAGCAGCTAAAAATGGCTATATCATCCAAGTAGGCACAGGCATACTCCTGAAACCCATCCAGTAGCCGATCTACCATCCTCTGAAAGTTAGCCGGGGCATTCTTCATCCCGAATGGCATGGCCTTAAACTGATACAGACCAAACGAGGTGACAAATGCCGACTTGTGGATGGCGTCCTTGGCTAATGGAATTTGCCAGTACCCCTTGCACAGATCTATTGTGGTGAGGTACTGGCCTCTGGCCATTTTGTCTAGGAGCTCGTCTATCCGGGGCATAGGGTAGGCGTCTGAGGTTGTTTTATCGTTTAGCCTCCGGTAGTCTAGACAGAAACGGGTCGTGCCGTCCCGTTTCGGTACTAGTACTACCGGGGAGGCCCAGGGGTTGTCAGAGTGTTCTGTCACCCCTAACTGCATCATTTCCTCAATTTCTTTCTGAATATTTTCTTTAACTGCTTCGGGTATGCGATAGGCGGTTTGGCGAAGGGGGGTCTGGTCTAGGGTTTCAACTTTGTGAGTGGTTAACGGACTGTACCCAGGTAGGTTGGAAAACGTGGCCCCCTTGTCCTGGATTAGTCTTTGGACCTGGGTTCGCTCCTGGGGGTCTATCCGTTCTCCTAACTGTAGGAATGTTAGGCCCAGGTCTCCACTCTGGCCCTCTAGGTCTAGGAGATCTGGGAGTGGCAAATTATCATAATCTTCAGTGGCAGGTGCACAGATCGCGGTTACCTCTTCCGTGCGCTCGTGGTATGGCTTGAGCATGTTCACATGGAGCATGCACTTGCCTCCCGTGCCTGTGACCGTACCGATTACAAAGGTGGTATCACAAACCTGCTCTACCACCTTGAATGGGCCCTGCCAGGAAGCCTGCAGCTTGTCCTTGTGGACAGTGTCAATCCATATCTGCCAAGTGACCCTATGTAGGGGGAACAGTTTCTATTCTGCTCTGTGTCAGTGTGTACCATGGTCTCTGAGGACAGGTGTCAATCCATATCTGCCAAGTGACCCTATGTAGGAGGAACAGTCCCTATTCTGCTCTGTGTCAGTGTGTATCAGGGACCCTTAGGACAGGTGTCAATCCATATCTGCCAAGTGTAGGGGGAACAGTCCCTATTCTGCTCTGTGTGAGGAGGAGGAATGGGAAATGAGTAGCTCGGCATCCAACCTTGTGCAAATGGGGTCTTTCATGCTGTTGTGCCTGTTGAGGGACCCGCGTATAAAAAGGCTGAAGGAGAACGACCTGTGCTGGGTGTCCACGCTACTAGACCCCCGGTATAAGCAGACAGTGGCGGAAATGTTACCGAATTACAAGTCGGAAAGGATGCAGCATTTGCAAAATAAATTAAAAAGTATGCTTTTCACAGCGTATAAGGGTGATGTCACAGCACAGCGGGAATCTAACAGGGGAAGAGGTGAAAGTCATCCTCCTCCTCCTCCCACAACCACGCCATATCTGCCAAGTGACCCTATGTAGGGGTAACAGTCCCTATTCTGATCTGTGTCAGTGTGTATCAGGGGCTCTGAGGACAGGTGTCAATCCATATCTGCCAAGTGACCCTATGTAGGGGGAACAGTCTCTATTCTGCTCTCTGTCAGTATGTATCATGGTCTCTGAGGACAGGTGTCAATCCATATCTGCCAAGTGACCCTATGTAGGGGGAACAGTGTCTCTTCTGCTCTGTGTCAGTGTGTATCATGGTCTCTGAGGACGGGTGTCAATCCATATCTTTCAAGTGACCCTATGTAGAGGGAACAGTCCCTATTCTGCTCTGTGTCAGTGTGTATCAGGGATCCTGAGGACAGGTGTCAATCCATATCTGCCAAGTGACCTTATGTAGGGGGAACAGTCTCTATTCTGCTCTGTGTCAGTGTGTATCATGGTCTCTGAGGACAGGTGTCAATCCATATCTGCCAAGTGACCCTATGTAGGTGGAACCGTCTCTATTCTGCTCTGTGTCAGTGTGTATCATGGTCTCTGAGAACAGGTGTCAATCCATACCTGCCAAGTGACCCTATGTAGGGGGAACAGTCTCTATTCTGCTCTTTGTCAGTGTGTATCAGGGATCCTTAGGATAGGTGTCAATCCATATCTGCCAAGTGACCCTATGTAGGGGGACCAGTCCCTATTCTGCTCTGTGTCCGTGTGCATCAGGGGCTCTGAGGACAGGTGTCAATCCATATGTCAAGGTGTCAATATGTCATATGTCAGGTGTCAATCCATATTCATTGTGATTTAGGAATGTTAGGTGATTTCTGCCCTTTATGGATTAAAACCAGACTCTGTATCAACTGTGTAATTTTCCATGGGAGTTTTGCCATGGATCCCCCTCCGGCATGCCACAGTCCAGGTGTTAGTCCCCTTGAAACAACTTTTCCATCCCTATTGTGGCCAGAAAGAGTCCCTGTGTGTTTTAAAATTCGCCTGCCCGTCGAAGTCTATGGCGGTTCGCCCGGTTCGCCAGTTCGCGAACATTTGCGGAAGTTCGCGTTCGCCGTTCGCGAACAAAAAATTTCGTGTTCGCGACATCACTAATAAACATATTTCAAACATAATTTTTTGTATAGATTGCTTTACAGACAAACTTAAAAATGATATACATTTACACAATTTTTTTTTCACTTGTTCATTCAGCCTTTATTAAAATATTTGAGAAATTAGCAGTAGAGTTGAGCGGACACTTGGATGTTCGGGTCCGGCGGGTTCGGCTGAACTTTGAAAAAAAGTCCGGTTTCTGGATCGAACTTGACCCTGAACTTGACCCCGAACCCGAACCCTATTGAAGTCAAGGGGGACTTGAACGTTTGGGCACAAAAATGGCTCTAAAAAAGTCCTGGAAAGGGCTAGAGGGCTGCAAAAGGACGTAAAATGGGGGTAAGAGTAGGACAAGTGCCCTGCAAACAAATGTGGATAGGGAAATCACTTAAAATAAAATAAAATATATAAAATAAGCGGCCGCGTAGTAGATAACTCCCTAATTCCCACGGTATTAGGGAGCTATCTACCAAAAGGCTGAAAGACCTGAATTAAAGATTACTTAGCATTAGTAAATTCAGCCCCTACTCGCTATACCACGAAAGTTCTTTGACATTTTCCCACGCTGTGTAATTTGACTCATAACACTTTGATTGGTTAGTTAATGAACCAATCGGAGTGTTATGAGTCAAATTACACAGCGTGGGAAAGTTCTTTGGAATTTTCCCACGCTGTGTAAAATGACTCAGAGCACTCTGATTGGTGGATTAAGTAACCAATCAGAGTGTTATGAGTCAAATTACACAGCGTGGGAAAATTCCAAAGAACTTTCCCACGCTGTGTAAAATGACACAGAGCACTCTGATTGGTGGATTTCAAGCCAACCAATCAGAGTGCTGTGACAGGTAAATGTAGAGACTTACCCCCTTATTGATATTTACCTGAGTGGTGGGTGGGGGCGGGGTGGGAACAATAGGTTTTTAGGGCTCCCACCCGCCACTCAGGGGTGGGGGCCGGGGAGGGCAATAGGTCCCCCCTTTAGTTTAAAAGCACCCACTCGCGCGTCACGGTTGTGCGCTCAGAAGGGGGGAATTTAAAAAAAAAATTAACAGAGAGTAGCCACAGGCTGCTCACTGTTTAATAGACATGCCCCTACTTGCGGTATAGCGAGGTGGGGCATAATTTAATAATACTAAGTAACCAGCTTATATAGAGGCTGGGTCACATGCTGCACTGGCCAAGGGCACACGAGTCAAACTCTTGTTGATTGGCTGCCCTGCAGCCTTTCAAAAGGCATCATTGAATCGCCGAACACTGAACTCTAACTCGAACATACAGTGATATGTCCGTGTTCGGGTCCGGGGTCCAAAAAACTTAATGTTCGGGACGAACCCGAACTTTACAGTCTGGGTTCGCTCAACTCTAATTAGCAGCTTTAGACTGAGTACATTGTCTTTTATCTCAAACACATGGTTTGAAATGTTAGTGAAAAAATGCAATTTGTCTCACATACAGCAGGTCTGACAAAACAGATAAAAAAAACCTGTTATAAGTCAAATAAAAACAAATATTTATAGGTATTTGTAAGGCCCCTGAAGGCATTGCTATCATTAACAATAGCAACAGAATGTAAAAACAATCTCTGCTTTTGAGCATTAGGCCCACTAATAGAAAATTCAGTTAAATCACAGACCTCCTAAACACTCCTGATTTACGTGGCCTATACCACTGTCCTGATTTAGTTCCCTGGTGTTTTGGAGACACCAGGGAACGGTCCCCAACAAGCAAAGTGTGAGCTCATCATTAGCTGCATGAGCGCTATGTTCATTGCAACACCTTCAACAGAGGGTAAGGATTTATAGACTAAAGTAAAAAAAAAATAGTAAAATAGTTTTTTCTCGATTCTGGTACTGAAGTGGTAACCAGTAAATATGCTCTAACAGCAGGGATGTATTAGCCGCAAGGCAAACAAGGCATTTGCCTTGGGTGGCATTTTCCAGGAGGCGGCAAAAAAAGCCGCCCCCAAATGCCGAGGGCAAATGTCTTGTTAGCTTTGTGGCTAACTAAAAATCCGGTCGGTCGGGCGGGCGGCGCTGGCGAGGAAGCACTTTCCCCTGAGCTCTCTGCTCAGCTCCCTCGCGCGCTGCAGAGTGACGCCATATTCCGGCTCCCGGCATCACTCTGCGGTGCGCAAGGGTCAGATTCTTAAGTCCATTCCTGCCATATTAACATGTTTTGTCAATTTTCTAAGTAAAAAAAGAAGTGATATAAAATAAACTCAATATTTATTTTCTAAATTTAACTTACCGTATATACTCGAGTATAAGTCGACCCGCATATAAGCCGAGGCCCCTAATTTTACCACAAAAAACTGGGAAAACGTATTGACTCGAGTATAAGTCTAGGGTGGGAAATGCATCAGCTACTGGTAAATTTCTAAATAAAATTAGATTGCAATAAAATTACATTAATTGAATATTTATTTACAGTGTATGTATATAATGAATGCAGTGTCTGTGTGTTTGTGTAGTGTGTGTGTGTATAATGAATGCAGAGTGTGTGTTTGTGTGTAGTGTGCGTATATAATAAATGCAGAGTGTGTGTGTTTGTGTGAGTGCAGTGTGTGTGTGTATTTAATGAATGCAGTGTGTATATATAATGCAGAGTGTGTGTTTGTATGAGTGTGTGTGTATATAATGCAGAGTGTGTGCACTACACAAACACAAACACACTCTGCATTATATACACACACACTCATACAAACACTCACTCTGCATATATACACACATACACTCTGCATTATATACATACACTCATACAAACACACACTCTGCATTATATACACACACACTCTGCATTATATACACACGCTATGTGTGTATATAATGCAGAGTGTGTGTATATAATGCAGAGTGTGTGTGTGTTTGTGTAGTGTGTGTAAACTGGGTGGGGGGGCATTTTTATTATTTTTAATATTTCTATTTTATTATTTATTATTATTTTTTTTACAATTATTTTATTTTAATATTATTTTAATATTGAATTTTAGGTTGTTTTTTTTAGTCCCCCCTCCCTGTTTGTTATCTGGCCAGGGAGGGGGGCTATATCATTCCTTGGTGGTCCAGTGGATGGGCTGTGCAGTGGGGGGGGTTGGCAGGAAGCGTTTACTTACCTTTACAGGAGCTCCGTGCAGCCCCCTGTCAGCTCTGTTCACCTCCGTTCCCTTCCGCTCACAGTGTAAGTCTCGCGGTCACCCTCTCAATCAGCACCTTGTAAAGCTCATTTGACAATAATCACCTACTCCAAATGTGTTTTGTAGCCACCTACCAATTTTCTATTCTTGCTTTAGAACATTTTTCCACATTTTTACAGAATACTGGTCATAGTTGATTTTAAGGTGTGTTTTGGAGCTTCATCTTATTTAAATAGTCAATGCCTAACAGTGCACTTCACTTAAGGTGTCAGGTACATAACTAAATATGGAATATTGAAATTATTATAGCTAATTATTAATCAAATAGTAAAAATGTTACGCTTAAGAGATTAATTTTTTTAACATGCTATTTAGAAATGATGATTCTTCAAGCTCTGATGCAATTATTTGTAGAGTAATCCTAATGTAATATAATCACATATAACAAATCTCATCTTTTTATGAATACACTACTTTATTTTTTTGATATAATATCCTAAAACATATTGTTGATTTAGTGTTTTGGTTTTCATATTCTTTTGTTTTCTAAAGAAAAGTGTTCCATTCTTTCATATTAAAGGGACACTACAGTCACCAGAACAACTACAGCTTATTGAATTGGATCTGGTGAGTAGAATCATTCCCTTCAGTCTTTTTGCTGTAAACACTGTCTTTTCAGAGAAAATGCAGTGTTTACATTACAGTTGCTTACCTCCATCCTCCACTGAGTTGTGAAATGCAGAGAGACAGATCAGTGTGATACAAACTGGGTTATTCATTAAAGTGAGAATTATTATTATTATTGGTATTTATAGATTGCCGACTTATTCCAAGCTCTTCACAATATTATAATAGGGGGAAATTTAGCAATAAATGAGACAATTACAACATTTTACAGGAACAATGGGTTCATAAGGACCCTGCTCGAACAAGCATACAGTTTAGAATTCAAGGTTAATTAAAAGTAACTAAATTTCAAATTTAAGGCCACAGTAACCGAACAAAAAGTATAGCCGAGTAGGAGAAAATTTCCAGTTCGGTTATTTTGACCCTAAATTTGAAATTCATTTTGAATTCACTCTGAATTCTCACTTTAGGGAAAAACCTTGAAAGTGTGAAAAACCCTTTTTTCCTTGTTTGTAATAAATTAACTCTTACCTTCATGTTTAATCACTGCTTGTAGTTACAAAAGTACAGTTCACAGTACTTTACTGTGTTCTGGGATATTTTTTTTAATCTCTATATTAATTTTAATGGATTTAGTTAATTGGGGTGGGGAATAGTTAGTGGGGCATTGTGAAATTTAGTAAAGTTATTTAAAGGGACACTATAGTCACCAGAACAACTACAGCTACTTTCAGGCATTTTCATGTAAACACTGCCTTTTCACACTGATGCTGTTATAGTAGTGTGTGTGGAACTGCACTCACTCCCATAAATCTGAGCCAGGGTGCTTGCTGAACCGGAATCAAACACCAGATTTCCAAAAATTAATCAAATAATAGAGGTCCAGGCACTCCTTGGGTCAAGACAGGTACTTATTAAGAACCACAACAGCAACGTTACGACCCCAAAAGGTCTTTGTCAAGCTTGACAAAGACCTCTTGGGGTCGAAACGTTGCTGTTGTGGTTCTTAATAAAGTACCTGTCTTGAACCAAGGAGTGTCTGGACCTCTATTATTTGATTAATTTTTGGAAATCAAATAATAGAGCAACGTTACGACCCCAAAAGGTCTTTGTCAAGCTTGACAAAGACCTTTTGGGGTCGAAACGTTGCTGTTGTGGTTCTTAATAAAGTACCTGTCTTGAACCAAGGAGTGTCTGGACCTCTATTATTTGATTAACTGTTGCTGTTATAGGCTTTCAAAGAAAAGGCAGTGTTTACATTGCCCCTAGGGACACCTCCAAGTGGCCACTCCTTAGACAGCCACTGGAGGGGCTTCCTGGCGCTGGGCTGCATAGTAAATCGGAAATTTTGAGGATGTCACAAAGGGGTGGGGCCAGTGCCAGCAGACCCATGGAGAGCTATTGTTTAACAAGTTCTCCTCAATTTCTACCCATTTTGGGGTTTCCAGAAACAAACGATCAGTTACAATACTACTAGGTACGCTATCATAATGTATGTTGCTGGGTAACGTCAATCCTCTCTGAGTTAAGTTATAAAAATTTCCCACTCAAGATAAATTTGCTGGGCACATTGTGGACATTGGTGAAAAGGATGTGAGTACTGAAATTGGTAGTGTGGAACAAATATTTCAACCTTAGAAGAACTGACATCTTAACCCCTGCTTAATAGCTTATT